TTTATAGCAAACTTAACGTGTCTTTAACATCATATCCTTTACCTTTTGTCATTGCTGACCAATCCCAATATCTATGCTTATGCCAACCTGCTTGAGATGTACTTAAATCTATGTAGTGACTAGTGCAGGTAAATTTTCACCTGAAATCGTTTTACTTCCACCTGTTTCCTTTGAAGAGTTTGCACAATACAAAAACCTGTCGACTATTTGAGTCCAAGTTCCGAGACCAAGTACTACTTCTGGTCTGGTAGAGTTCATTGACGTGTAAATAGAACCTATAGGATATAGTGTTTGAAGTATTTCTGTCTTTAACGTTTGAAGCTCTGTTTTGTCAGCTTTCTTATCATATAAATCTTGAGCAGTGAATTTAACTTTGTTTTCATCCTCCATGACATAGACATTTCTACATTTAATGTCTTTCATCGTTGTTATGTCATCCTCCGATGTTAAACCTTGTGGAAAGTTAGGAGGTTTCCAATTTAATACATCCCCACCAGTTCCATCAGGTTCTTCAACCGTTCCTGCAATATTTTCTATACAACAGTTGCGAAGAAATCGTGTGTATGTCCAACGTCACTTTTCTTGTTTAAGGTTTCTTGTAAGTTTGTAATATTTGCAATGGTATGTGTATGAGTCTTTTTAGAATATTCTTTGTCAGCTCTTGTCACTTCACTTGACATTTTATTGTCAACATATGTTTTATCGCTTTGTCATCTAACATTTCTTGAAGTTCATCTACGTCATAGATGTTATGTGTATGATTTTTTGTGGGTATGTTCTATCTGTCCATGCGAGAATAATAGTCTCTTGTTGCATCTACATACTCTTTGTCAGCTTTGTTGTCAATATCTGCTTTCAAAAGAAGTTCATCTATAGGTTTCTCGTTTAAAGTTCTTTTTGTTGGATTTATACAAACAGTATGGTTCTTACTGTCTTGAAACAGAAACTCGTCTGTCAATGGGTTTAATGTCAGTTTTAAGTTTCCTTCTTTCAATGACTCAGATATCTTAGAATAGTTTGAAAGTTTGTTGTGTTCTTATTTAGAGCTTGCAAAATGAGTTGTCGGTTGTGTTGTATTTCTCTCATAGACGCTGTTTCTTTCGACATTTTTATTCTAGATAAAATATGCTTTCAATAGAAAAAGAAAATTCAAGAGTTGCTACAACTAAACCATTAGATGAACTTTTTACTAATGTCGGTCAAAAGTTTGAGACAGAGACCGTAAAGCATGAAGGCTATCGTTTTGACTACCCATTAAGATGGCTAAGAGGACCCATCTGTCACAAAAGCTATTGGCTTTCGTAGAATGAAGTTCATTTCAGAAGCCATACATGGTTTCCCATTTACGGTCGCTTTTGAAGTTCGATACTATAACAAAGAAAAACGTATGTATGAGAAATTTGAACAGGGAAAACTTTTACAAGTGAATTTGCTTGTAAACTTAGAAACAACTCTTCAAGCTTTTCAAGAAAAAATAAACGACATCTATCTCGAATATGCAAACCAGTATAACATTGACGAAGGAGAGTACCATCTCGATATTATTTATGACAGGAAAAATGCAACTGTTAAAATCAATAAAATAGAAGACCTTGGAGAAAACGTTTATATTTCTACAAAATATAACAACTTGGCATGGTATAGATTTATGAGGATGTTAAATCAGCCTGCAGCATATCCAGTACACCCAGACTTTTATGAAGTCGAAAACCCTAATGGAACATATGAAAATATTTTCGACCCAGATGCTATTATCGTTCATGCTTCATTTTCTGGTGCACAAAACTCTTTTTTATGCTTGGCAAATGACTTTTACGAAAAACCTACAAAGCTATATGAACCGCCGAGTGGAAGTATTTCAGACTTTCAAGTATGGTTTACAACAGATGGAAGAAAGAGAATAATTCCATTATACCATGCGTTTTACTTAGAACTTAGTTTCATATACAACTACTATCGAACGGTAAAAATATAATTTTAATACGGTTGAGGTGTTGGATTTGGTTGCCAACTAGACTGTGGTGCAGGTTCAGGCTGTTGTATAACAGGAGCTTGTTCTTCTGGTTCAGGGTCTTTAGGTATAATACCAACAAACTGACCTACTCTTTTACCAATATTTTTGACTCCGTTCCAAATTCCTCTTCCTACGGTTTTTATTCCATTCCATATACCTCTTCCAACATTTCGAAAGAAGTTTCCAATACTACTGAAGAAACCCATTTTACTATATGTAAAAATCTAATGTCCGCCTAGTCTCTACGTTTCCTGTTGAGTTCCATAGCATTCTTTAACTGGAGCTCATACATTCTGTTTCTCCTCTGGTAGAAAACATATTCTGGGTCAACTCCTGTGTTCGCGTCATCTGCATAAAGTTGTTTATATCCCACTTCAGGGTTTGTATAAAACTCTTTCCATCTCATATTTGCATACCATGGTGGCAAACCTAACGCAGCGTCATTTGACATGGCAGTTTGCATTTGTACATCTGTTGGCACTTGACCATAGTTTGCCATTGCAGTTTGTATTCTAACTTCATTTGGAATATTCTCTGGGTTTGGTTGTCCAGGTTGCTGTGCATTCGCTAAGTTCTGTGCGTCCATTTAATATTAGATAAAAATATCTCTTACGAGTACATATACTGAACATTTGCAGGCATTGGTTCATCTTCATATTCTCTGTACTTTTCTGCCACGTCAAATAAATAAATGACACAATGGAAAAAACCTAAAAACAAGTAGTCCTATTTCAAACCACATTTACTTACTAATAAAATTTCTTTATTGTGACACTTTCTCCAGTTTATAGGACCTCTCTCATATTCTATCTTGTCATATATAAACTCATAGTCATGTATGTCCTCTAACCATCTCATAACGGTTTCCAAACCACTTTTATCGGATGTAAAGTAAAAGCATGGATGGTTATGTAAAACGTCTAAAGTTTCTAAAGAGTCTCTCAAAGTCCAGTCTACTTGGTATTGAAAATCCCATGTGTTATAGAACGGCGGGTCACTATAAAGAAAACATTTTCCTTGTCTTTATATTTTTCATACAAATCTGTCCAATGACATCTCACAAACTCTATACCCTCAATATATTTTTCTATGTCCTCTTTGAAAACATTTGTATAGTTAAGATATAAAATTTTTGACATAAGTGTTTCAATGTCATGAACTCTTATAGCACCACTATATAATAGTCTAGCAGATATACTATCCCAGTCTATATATTCTGCTTTTTTCAAAACCTCTCTCACAATATTTTTCTTATCTAATGGTATACGTTCCATCTTACCTATAGGTATCTTTTCTTTTAACTCTTTCAATATATTGTTTGTGTCTGGTATATGTTTGAGACGGTCCATATAGTTGTCGAAGTCATTGCATATAATCTTTGAGTCTGGGAATATTGTATGACACAAATGGGATATATAGAAACTTCCACCGAACAAATCTACAAATATTAGACCATTCGGTAGTTTCTTAAGTTCTCTCAATATAATATCTTTACATCTACTCTTATTTCCAAAGAACGGTGACGGTGGTTTTGTAAAATTCATTTATATATAATAATAAAAATGTTTTTACCTGAAAAGTGACAGAAAAGTGACAAAACATGAAAACATATATAATTTGTGAAAAGCGACACATTATATAATGTTTTCGACCCAGAAGAAGGCTTCTTCCCAGAAGCAATGGAGGAAGAAGAAGAGTCCTCCGAATTCACACCAGAAGACTAACAATTATCCGAATAAAAACTTCATTTATACTAAACATCTTCGGGGCTAGAGGGCACGAAGTGCCTGGAAGCCCCACTACCTTTTTTTTTTTTTTTCCTCTTACCCTTCCATTCCCTCTCTGACAGCGGGAAACTTTGTCTGAATGTTAAACTATTCAGACAAAGTTTCCCACTGTTTGCGAAGGAATTGTTGGCTATGATGTACTGATTCATGATCAGTACATCATAGCCAACAATTCCTTATACAAAGTTCAAAAACTTGGGTGCAATCAGAACTGATTGCACCAAGTTTTTGAACTTTCTCGAGGGAATGAAAGGGTAAGAGGTATACATTATGAATATATACCTCTTACCCTTCCATTCCCTCTCTGACAGCGGGAAACTTTGTCTGAATGTTAAACTATTCGGACAAAGTTTCCCGCTGTTTGCGAAGGAATTGTTGGCTATGATGTACTGATTCATGATCAGTACATCATAGCCAACAATTCCTTATACAAAGTTCAAAAACTTGGGTGCAATCAGAACTGATTGCACCCAAGTTTTTGAACTTTCTCGAGGGAATGAAAGGGTAAGAGGTATACATTATATATATACCTCTTACCCTTCCATTCCCTCTCTGACAGCGGGAAACTTTGTCTGAATGTTAAACTATTCAGACAAAGTTTCCCACTGTTTGCGAAGGAATTGTTGGCTATGATGTACTGATTCATGATCAGTACATCATAGCCAACAATTCCTTATACAAAGTTCAAAAACTTGGGTGCAATCAGAACTGATTGCACCCAAGTTTTTGAACTTTCTCGAGGGAATGAAAGGTAAGAGATATCCATTTCCTTTCACCTTCGTTCTCAATAATTAACTTTTAAATTTTTTAAAGCAAAAAAAGTCTGATTTTTTTTGACAAGTAAATATATAGGGAATTTATCCGACCAAATAAGTGTCACTTTATCGGTTCACCTCACTTTCCGTAACTCGTCTTACAACACTACTCATTGCGTCGAACACAAGAGGAAACACACAGGGGATGTTCTGGAAGAAGAAGGCACAACACTACATAATGAACACCCCTTACGAGGTCACTAAGAATATGACAAAGGAGGCGAGGGAGAAAACTGAGAGGAGGTTCAAGCAGGAGCTCCTACAGTCGAACCTCCTACTCGTCGACATGCTCGTGGGACATACGAGATGATGTGCAGAGCACTCACGAATGCAGAGCCAGAGGTGAAGGGCGTCAAAATGAAGTACACACTTGTGTTCGACGAGCTACAGGAGGCACTCACTGTCACGTCCCCACGCTTCTCTGCTTCGTTCCGTTGCCTCTCCATGTGTGCCGACCTCTTCAAGAAGGAGAGGGATGGCGGCGAGGACGTGCTCTTCCTCATGATGACAGGCAACTCTGGCATTCTCAACCAGAAGTCGCCACACGTGTCTGCTTTCGTGGAAGATGCAACAATACTGGAACACGAGAGCATGCCAAAGATGGTCAACGACTGCAGGCTCAGAGTGCTGGCAGACAAGAATGGCTGGGCAAACAAAGATACCAACCCACTCAATGTCTTCATCAGAGACATTAATGGAAGCACACAGTACAAGTTCGTCCTCCAGTCGTACGAATACGACTTCGACAGAAGCGTGTGGACGTACACGGCGTTGGAGAACGGACAGGACAACCAGCCAAAGTGCGAGTGGTTCAATCTCAACTTCCCACAGCTCCTGAAGAAGCATCAGTGGCTGTACTCGCTGGCAAAGTGCGTGATAGAAGGGAGGAAGCTGAGGGCCGCACTCTGCATCGTGAACAACAAGGACGACGCAGTCATCGTCGACAGGTGTGTTGTCATGATGGTCAAGCTCACGATGGTCTTCTTCGGCCTGAGGCCACCAACGTCGTGGTGTGAGGACACGATCTCGATACAGAATGGCAGTGACAAGAAGCTGTACAACGTCACGAGGAACAGCTATGAGGCCATGTCTGCTGAGAAGGCTTCTATCATGACAGACAACAATCTCAAGTGGCTCATCCCCATGTACATCAAGTACAGCTGACTCATCACAAGCGCTGTGCTCAAGGAGATTAAGCCAAGGAGTGGCAGTGACTTTGCCGGGTTGTCTGTGTACGATGCGAGCACAGGCACGGACAGCAAGCCACAGAAGCCGACAGAAGCGCATATCACATTCCCAGAGCGAGCCGCGTCTGGCGTGGTGGATGGGGAAGTCGTCCGCTCGAACAGGATCACGAGGATATACTCCATGGACGAGGTGAGAATGCAGGCAGCGAGGATAGGTGTGAGGCACGCCAACGCAGACGGAGATAGAGAGGACGAGGTGGAGGCAGAACTCATCCTCATGAAGCAGTCTTTCCCCCTCACAGTTGCAACACAGAAGGTGGCAGTAGTGTAATGCATGAAAATAGTGTGACTTCATTTTTGACAGTTTACAAATGTAAAAGTGTTGCATCCTTAAAAACTTGGAAATATATACATTCATGAATTATCTTGTATATTAATTGAAAATCCATAAAACCCTAACAATATTTTTTCTTAAAAAAAACTATAAAAATATAAATAAAATTAATCGTTAAATAAAAATATTTGATATTAGAATTTTATTGGAAAAATAAAAAACTTAATATTTTAAAGAAATACTTAAATACTTGAATGTTTTAACTTTTACATTATCATATAGACTCTCAAATTATTAGCCATTTTGGCTGAGAACTATGGTCTGCGAGGTACATAGATAGAATCAGTACCTCGCATACTATAGTTCTCTATATGGCGCCGAAAATTTTTGGTGAAATGTCGTCGCATTTCACCAAAAATTTTTCGGCGCCATAGGAAGAATTGGAGGGTGTGAGATACTATTACATGCTATAGTACTCACACCCTCCAACTCCCAATCAAAATCGCATAAAATTTGCTACTTATCTTCAGATTACCTCCCATTATAAAATATATCATTGCTATCTCATCGTCCTATACTTCCACCCTATTGTATTTAAAAATATAAAAATTTTTGATAATATATTTTATATCTTGAATTTTCAAGCAATATATTCACAGATAATATAATGGGAAATCTATTTCAACCTAGCCTTAAAGTACCAAACTCCTGCTTGCATTCTCACTCACAAATATTAAACATCCATCTCCAAAAAATTAAATTCTTCACAATTTTTTTTAAAATTGAGAACATAAAAAACGTATGCATTCAATAATTTAAGATACTAACAAATATTACAAACTTCAAAATATCAGATATTAACGTTTTTCAATTAAAAAAATATCATTTTGCTTTTCAATTCGAACATAAATCTTAAATATTTTTAATTAATATCTGATTTACAGCATTATTATCCATTTATAAATCTGACAAATAAATGACAAAACCATCAGAAATAGTGTCACTTTCTGTCAAAAGTGAAGTCACGCTATTTTTCATGCATTACATCTGGACGTAGGGGCCGTCGAGCTTCTTGTTCTGCTCCACAACGACGTATGTGTTTTCAGCCGCGCCGAGTGTTCCACCCCTGATACCCTTGCCTGTGCTTCCTCCTACACCGACAAATGTGAAGTTCTTCATGCTGTTCTCCTCACCCTCTGCGAAAGCTTGTACTGCTGCCTTTCCTATACTGGCGAGCTTGCTCTTGCCCCACGAGATGATCGACTGGAATAGTCCGTCCTCCTGTGCCTGGTCCCTCATCAACTGTGTGTACTTGCCCTTTATCTCGTCGAACTTCTCCACCTCTGGTGGGATGGTGACTGGCATTGAGTTCTTGATGCAGCATGAGAGGGGGCCATCTACGGCTTTCATAGTTCTTGCTGTCTGATTGTATGTACCTTCTGCTACCATGTCACCGGTGTCGAAACCTGCGACCTGTGTGCAGTCTGTATCCTTTGCGCCCTTTTCTGGGACCGCCTGTCCGACGAGTGCGATCACCCTGTTGAAGGAGAATGTCTGCATGGCGTTGGTGTCTTTCGCCGAAGGGAATGACACCGAATCCCAGTAACGGTAGAAAGGAACAACCATCGTGAAGACGTCACTGCTACTGGCTGCTACTAAGCATTTCGTACTATCTGGATAATAAACAACAGATATATCGTTACGTGGAACGTACGAGGAACAAGAGCAGTATATGCCTGGCTCGACTGTGGTAGTATCACGTACAAATACATCTGCGAGGATGTTGTTGCCGTCTGGGACGCTGAATATGCCGTATTCATCGTTGGAAGTGACTCTGGCTCCTATGGAGTCTGTAGCGTCGAAGTACGTGCCGTTTATCATAGTGTTTGTCTCGAAGAGGCTGATGAGATCATTCTTGGCTGCTACTGTTGTGACGGAGAAGTCGTCTGTCTTGTTGTCGACTGAGCCGAATGCAACACTGCTACGGATGACGTTTGACGCCTGCTCCCTGATGAGACCGTCCTTGATGCCAGAAAGCATATTCTTCATGTACTGGCCCCTGAACGATGGGTACCTGTTGGTGGCGTCCTTCTCTGTGTACAGGCTGAACATGTTGTCTCCACAGCGCAGCATGCCCTTCCTGGAGGCACCGCTCTTCATGACCTCGAGGCGTCCCCGCATGCGTTCGACACTACCAGCTGTTGTACGGCTGAGGTTCAGCTGACTGACGTACTTCTTCTCACCAACATCACCACTGACGATCGCACAGTCGCTCGCTATCCAGTCGTTCATGAGTGTCTTGGCCTTGTTTGTGCACGGTCCGCTGTAGACGAAGTCCCATGTGATGGTGAATATACCTAGCTGTGCGTTGTCACGTGTGAATGTCGTTGGTGGCTGGTAGACGTAGAGGGAGATGATTGGGCCGTCGAACAGCTGGTTCCACTGCTTGGAGGATCCACCACTGGGGACGTAGTCCTGTGTGGCACGGATGTTTGTGAGGACGGATGGGTTGCAGTCGATGGTGAATGTGTGTGACTGCTGCTCTGTGCTGCTGAAGTTGTAGTAGGGCTCTGATATCGTGGCGTTCAGTGAGCTGCTCAGCATCTCGTGCATGCCCTTTGAGAAGACAGTGCAAGAGATGCCACAAGCACAAGAGCAGAAGGGTGTGTTATTCCACTGTGACATGTGAGTTACGTATGCTGTATGTGTTGTAACTGTTGCTCTCGTACAGTGCGCTCGAGAGAAGTGGGTCGAAGTTGCGTGTGGTGATGGGCAAGCAGTACTCGTTGATTGGCATTGTGTCAGTGCCAAAAGCATATGGTGTGACGTCAGAGTACACATGGCATGGCTTCCACGAGGACGAGACTTTGCTGCCGTTCACTGTCATTGGTATGTTGATCGACTGCCACTGCTCTGGGCTAGAGGCGTAGTAGATGGGGATCTTCACGGCAACAGGAACAACACAAGACGTGTTGTGTCATAAGACGAAATGATGGAAGTGAGGTGAAGTCAAAAAGTGACATATATTTGGCCGGCTAAATTCCCCTTTAGTTTACATGTCAAAATTACAATAAATTAGTTATTTTGCTTAGCAATTAGCTATGTATTAAAACTAAAATTATTACTATTCAATTCTTTACATTCAAATATTAAACAATTCAAATTTAATAACAAAGATATTACAATAAATAAAAAATGATTAAAAATGTCCCTGAAAATTTTCTGAAAGCTATTGTTTCGTACCGAAATGGCTAACAAAAAAGTGACAGACAACCTTAAATAGCGCGGCAATTTTAATTAAAAAAATAAACATTAATTTTTGTGATTGATATTATGCTGTTGTAAACAGAAATTCATCAAAAGTGACACCTCAGAAAAGCTAAAATATTGAATTTTTGGAACTTTTGATAGAGCACGTTTTTAAATATTAATTAAAGTAAATGTATATTTTGTAAAGATTCTTTTTAATAAAAAATAAAATTTTGAAGAAGAACACAAAATCTTCTGAAAAATAATATCACATAAACTCATATTATTTTCTAATATATAACTATTTTATATAAAAATCAAATTCAATGATCTTAAAAGCGAAGGATAAACCTCAAAATTTACGAATATAATGAGTGGGAATATAATGCTTATCTATCATAAAACCATATGAAATATTCTCACTCATTATATTCGTAAATTTTGAGGTTTATCCTTCGCTTTTAAGATCATTGAATTTGATTTTTATATAAAATAGTTATATATTAGAAAATAATATGAGTTTATGTGATATTATTTTTCAGAAGATTTCATTCTATATGCCTATGAAAAGTACTCTCAAAACTAACTTTTCCCTAATTATAATTAAATCTAGAATATTGTATTATGCTTAGTATTATTTCATTTTTCTCATTCAATTTAGAATTTACAAATGTCAAAAAATTGAGAGCTGTCACTTTTGATGAATTTCTGTTTATTACAATGCATTTTATTTATATTATATAAGATTTAAATTTAGGGGAAAAATTGAAAAAAAAATAAGATTGGAAGTCTTTAGGTAAGAAGGAAAGGGCAAGAGATATATAGTGTACCTATATACCTCTTGCCCTTTCATTCTAAGTAGAAATGGGAGAAACTTTGTCCGCATCATAAGTTATGCGGACAAAATTTCTCCGATTTCTAATGGGAATTGCAGGCTATGAGGCACTGATATATAATCAGTACCTCATAGCCTACAATTCCCCTTATTAGACTTCCAAACTTTGAGTTAATGTCTTGACATTAACTCAAAGTTTGGAAAACTTCTCGTAAGAATCAATCGTCAAAAACCTCGATTGCAGTTATATTCATTGTGTTAAATTTGATTTATTTTGAAATTTTTATAAATTAAATTTTATATAACATAAAGCGTTATGAATTAGTATTTCCATATGAATTTTATCTCGAAAATAGTAATTCTGTACAGTTATATTTCGGTTAATTTTGGAAATTTCTAGGAATACTTTAAGATAATATGATTATATATAACTCTGCCTTCATGATTTATTTTAGCTTTCGCGCAAATATCAGTTAACTTAACTCCATTATTTGATTTTGTGATGGCTTCACAAAGCCAATCAATATCAATCTCTTCTGGAGAATGTCTTCTCATCTAGAATATTTTCAATACTTTACATACAAACATTTTTATTTCTAAAAAACTTTTTAATTTTTTCTAGGATATATGAATGAAAATAGTTAGAACAAGATTTTGAAGCTCAAAACATTAAAAATTATTAAAGATTTGTATAATATGATTAAAAATGGGAAATAATATGAGGCAATATAAAGGAATATGAATATTAAATAAATATATCTAAATAGAAAGAATCAGAAAAATCAAATTATTGGCACCAAAAATGTCACTTTTTTAGTGAGCCATTTCGGTATGAGATAATTTTCTGAAAGCTATCTTGTGTTTAGGTCTCAATTTTTTTTACAAATAGAAAAAGATTGGATTTAACTTTCAAACATTATATATAGTTTTGTATATGGAAGCCTTTAAATACAAGTTAATGATATGGAGTTGTATTGCGAGGAAGAGGGAATCAAAGAAATTGACGAAGTTCCAGAATTTTATTCAACAATTCTTAATCAATTAACAAAAACTATACCGAAACTTATCTTACCATCCAAATCAAATCACATTACATACGGAATAAACATTTAATCTTTTACCATTAAAATTATATTTATACGTTATTTAATTTTTTTACGTCTAAGTTGAATAGGATAATAGCCGAAGATATAAAGTAACTATAGTTTACAAGCTAAGGAACAAATCAGCATTGAAACTAAAAAATGCTGAAATATTATAATAAATTGAAGAAATACTGTGATAGAATACCTAGTTATACTAGATACTATTATAATATGAATTCATTTGTATTGAATATCGATAATAAAAATCGATGAAATATTAAAATGAGAATAAATTAATAATGAGATTATAAATTAGAATTATTTCTCTTTTATTTAAAATAAAAACTTAGTTCTATTTAAATTCGATAAAGAAGTACGAAAAAGTTGTATTATACGTATGATGTTGCCCGATGTTTGGTAACACTATTGTAGAATATAAGCATATATGATAGAAAAGCAATATGCTTAATATCGAGTAATTCTAATTTTTTACGAAATTATTCAAATACGTTATTTTTTAGTTTCAATGCTGATTTGTTCCTTAGCTTGTAAACTATAGTTACCTTCTATCTTCGGCTATTATCCTATTCAACTTAGACGTAAAAAAATTAAATAACGTATAAATATAATTTTAATGGTAAAAGATTAAATGTTTATTCCGTATGTAATGTGATTTGATTTGGATGGTAAGATAAGTTTCGGTATAGTTTTTGTTAATTGATTAAGAATTGTTGAATAAAATTCTGGAACTTCGTCAATTTCTTTGATTCCTTCTTGAAGCGTTGAATTTTTATTGACTCTCTTTTTATAACTTTTGAAAGAAACCGTAAAAATTGTGAAACATGCTTTTTAATAAAAAACAATTTTGATGAAAACCATAAATTAATTTAAAATTGAAATAAATTTTTGAAATCTATGATATTGAATAAAAAAATTTATAGTGTAGATATTGATATAGATATAGATATTAATTTTAATATGATATTTGATAAAATTTTTTTATCAAAACATACTGATAATAGGTTGACATGTAATATGATATTTTGCCTTGTAAATATATTTGGTCGGTAAAATAACCTAATTACTCTTATTTTGAGTTCACTTCCACCATTTCGTCTTATGATACAACCTGACCTTGCCACAGATGGCGCGCAGTATACTCGTGTAGGAAAGCTCTTTCTCTGTAACTTCCCCTCTCTCACAGAGCTCGAGGATGTCCTCTAACACTGAATGCTCTGGCTGTGGCCTCGAGTGTTGCAGAAGCTCGTCGACAATCGATCTCCTCACATCCTCTGTGTTGTGCATGAAAAATAGCGTGACTTCACTTTTGACAGAAAGTGACACTATTTCTGATGGTTTTGTCATTTATTTGTCAGATTTATAAATGGATAATAATGCTGTAAATCAGATATTAATTAAAAATATTTAAGATTTATGTTCGAATTGAAAAGCAAAATGATATTTTTTTAATTGAAAAACGTTAATATCTGATATTTTGAAGTTTGTAATATTTGTTAGTATCTTAAATTATTGAATGCATACGTTTTTTATGTTCTCAATTTTAAAAAAAATTGTGAAGAATTTAATTTTTTGGAGATGGATGTTTAATATTTGTGAGTGAGAATGCAAGCAGGAGTTTGGTACTTTAAGGCTAGGTTGAAATAGATTTCCCATTATATTATCTGTGAATATATTGCTTGAAAATTCAAGATATAAAAATATATTATCAAAAATTTTTATATTTTTAAATACAATAGGGTGGAAGTATAGGACGATGAGATAGCAATGATATATTTTATAATGGGAGGTAATCTGAAGATAAGTAGCAAATTTTATGCGATTTTGATTGGGAGTTGGAGGGTGTGAGTACTATAGCATGTAATAGTATCTCACACCCTCCAATTCTTCCTATGGCGCCGAAAAATTTTTGGTGAAATGCGACGACATTTCACCAAAAATTTTTCGGCGCCATATAGAGAACTATAGTCTGCGAGGTACTGATTCTATCTATGTACCTCGCAGACTATAGTTCTCAGCCAAAATGTCAAAAATTTCGGAAATTCGAAATAATTTTTTTGAGAAAAAATTAACCGTTTAACATTGCCAAAAATCTAAAAAACTCACAATTTTTTTTAAATTGATAACCCTCAAACTGTTTCCAATCAATAATTTGAGAGTCTATATGATAATGTAAAAGTTAAAACATTCAAGTATTTAAGTATTTCTTTAAAATATTAAGTTTTTTATTTTTCCAATAAAATTCTAATATCAAATATTTTTATTTAACGATTAATATTATTTATATTTTTATAGTTTTTTTTAAGAAAAATATTGTTAGGGTTTTATGGATTTTCAATTAATATACAAGATAAAAAAAAAGGTAGTGGGGCTTCCAGGCGCGTTGCGCCCTCTAGCCCTGAAGATGTTTAGTATAAATGAAGTTTTTATTCGGAAAATTGTTAGTCTTCTGGTGTGAATTCGGAGGACTCTTCTTCTTCCTCCATTGCTTCTTCTGAAATTTCTTCTTCTTCCTCCATTGCTTCTTCTGAAATTTCTTCTTCATCATCATTTGTTATAGGGTCTCCAACATATCCAGCAATGAAGATACGGATGCGTTGGTTGAATGGTGTATGGAGAGAGAACTTGGAGTTTCCAACAAATTGGAATTCGCAGTCCAATTTGAGCTGTGCTGAGGAGGAGGTAAACTCGGCTATTTTAAGCGGCTCAAGTCCTTGACGAACATTATATAGAGAAACACTTTGACCGAATGTAACCCTTTCAGGCTCAACCATAGCAATAGTTGAAATTACGTGAAGAAAGTCTTCATAGAATTGTTTTGGTTGTATTGTGAATGTCTTAGCAAGCTTTCCTTGAGGAACATCTACATAGAACTTGAAATGTTGTTCCTTTCCGTGTTCTTGAAGTTCTTCAATCCAATTATATGTAAGTGGATAAGGATGAAACAGTTTCAGACGTGCGTATAGACTTCTTTGCTGTCTGGGACCGAATGTTTGAATAAACTCGTCACAGAACTGTAAACCAATGATATTTGCTGTATAAGGAAGCAATTTGAAGAAGAATTCTGAAAGGTTTGTTGGATTTTGAACATTATCTTCAAATTTTTTGACGGCTTCAATAATATCATTGTAGAAATCTGAATAGTTATTTGTGTCTTGAATGCTTAAGTTTTGTGGGTAATTCTTCATGAATTGTTCGAGTCTCTTGACTGCGTCCTTACGAATATCGCTTTCTTTTATTTCTGGTTCTACCAAATATTCTTCTTCTTCTTCATGAGTAAGTACAATTGGAATTGTACCAGAATTGGAAGTTTGTCTTTGTGTTTGCTGTGTAGTTTGAGAGGTTGAGACATGTGTGTGTTGTTCTGGTGCGTTTGAAGGTTGGTTTGAAGTAGAATTGGGTGGAATTTGGTTTGAATTCGAATTTGAGTCTGATTGACCCTGAATTGTATGAGGAAGTTGCTTTGGTATTATAGGAGGTTGTAAGGGTTTTGAGAATGGTGAGACATAAGTTGTAGGAACTTTAACTGCAGAGGTAGTCGACGAATTGTTTGCGACACTTTTTCTTCCTTCCATTATGAAAAATGAACTGTTTTTTTCGGACTACTCATAGAAAAGTTTAAAATAAACCGTTTTCGTCAACGGAGACCCCTCTATTTTTTTATTTTATTTAATAGTTACCGTTGGCAAACCGTTCCATCTCAAATATTGAATGAACTATAAACGTTTTTTGTTTTCTATATATACTTTTTTGTCCAACGGTAAAACTTTTTACACAACGGTTTTTGAGAGTCGTCGCCGTTGACTTTTTTGTAGAGCACTCAAAATAGTATAACTTTGTCCGGACAAGTAAGGGTCTATCGTCGCTACAGGAAAAGTTACAGGCGTTCCAAGGAAGTATACTTTGAGAAGACTTTCCCCCTTATAGAATGAGATAGGACGGTTATTTTACAAAACTGACAACACTTTGACCGAGTAGTTTTTTGTGCTGAACAAAAAGTGTCATATAAACATCTGTCAAAAACCACTTTTTAACTTCACTTAAAATGCCACGTAAGCTACGTAAGAATATACGTAAGAGGAAGAGAGCATTGAAACATCCAATAGTAAAACTGACACCACAACAACAGTTGCAACAACAAATGATGAATGACCCCACTATGTTGCAACAAATGTCAAGCAACCCTATGCTTTTAAACCGAGTTATTGGTGCACAGAGTGGAGGTTTAAGAGCGGCACTTTTAGCGAAAATGGCAGGCTATGGTGGAGCTGCAGACGGAACAGCTTATAACCCTCAAAGTCAAATGAATTTGAGTTCACTCAAAAATCAAATAACAGATGTCAAAAAGTCAAACATAGACATACAGAAACAAATAAGTGAAAACGAAAAGAAACTAGAATATGACAGACACACAAAGAAACTCAATGAGTTAAACGTAGAGAAAAAGAAGAAAGAAGAACAACTGAAAGAACTAAGTACAGAGGAATATGCGAAAAAAGTGTCAGAAAAAGCAGCAGAAGTAGCAAAAATGGAACAAGATGTTATAAATTTGAAAAACCATACTACTCAATATAAAGTACTGAAAGATGAAGAGATAAAACAAAAAGCCCTGAAGACATATATGGATAGCGATGAGTATAAAAAAGAAGTTGAAGCAAATGTAAAGGCAGAAAAACTTTTACAGTTGCAAAACCAAACCGTACAGTATGAAAACTTAGCACAAGAAAGTAAAAATAACGACGCAGCCATGCAAAAGGCAATGAAAAGCGCAGAATATATAAAAGCTAATAATGACTGGTTAGATGCCCAAGCCAACGCCAAAGCAGCCCAACTTATAGGGTCAATAAGGACAAAAATACAAGCGGATGAAGACAGTTCAAATGAAGCTTTAATGAATGCTGACTTTAAGAATGCCTTCGAAGCTCTTCATAGTAAGGTGAAACTAGTGAACGACTTCTCATCTGGAAAGAAACTGAAGTCTGAAGGTTTCGACAAAGAGTTAAGAGAAGTAGCACAAAATATGACGAAAATAACAGATGCAGCAACGAGACAGGCAGTTCAAAGTGCCTATGACGCCGTTAGAGCAACTGTTGTGGAAAGTCAAGAAAAAGAGTTACAACAGACCAAAACAGACCTAGTAAATGCTTTCTTAAGAACGAAAAGTCAGGTAGGACATTATGCTGCAGATGGAACATATGTGCCAGCTGGTGGAACTTATATACCAGCTGGTGGAACTTATATACTAGCTAGTGGAACTTATATACCACCAAACCCTCCAAGAGAAGCACCTGCACCAGGACTACCTAAAACATTTACATCGTCACATGGACACAGACACAGGCATGCACCAAAACCAACACAACAACCAACAGTTCAAAATCCAGCACAACAACAACAACCAACAATTCAAAATCCAGCACAACAACAACAACCACCTCCACAACCAGCACAACAACCACCTCCACAACCAGCACAACAACCAGCACAAACAGAGCAAGGACATAAAAGAAGTAGAGAACAAGGAAACCAAGAATTCTTAAAAATGCTTAAGGAAGAATATGATTACCCAGATACTCTTGACTTTAGTGACAGATATAAAGAAGCTATTAGAAAGTTCAAGGAAGGAAATACTGACCCGAACCTATTTAGCTTTATGGTTCAGCACCAAATGGGATATAATCTCAAACCTGGAAAATACAAGCTCGCTAAGGGATATGATTTAATAGCATATCATCCAAATGACATGGATGAATTTACTCCGAGATATTTGTGTCAGAGATAAATGATAATTCAACTCTCTTCATGAAACGCGTAAAAAATAGAGACGGAACGAAAGAAGAAAGGTTATGAATCGGATGACTTAATAGGGAACTTGTTAAAAACGGTCTCGGAATATATGAAATGCCACCAGATGAGGTACAAGAAACTCCACAGGAAGAAGTTCAGATACAACCAGACATGGAAGAAATAGTTCAGCAACAACAGCTAGAAGAGCCTGAAGGAAACGAACAAGTCCCTCCTTTGGAAACTAACTTCACAGAACTAGATGAAGATTTGGAACAGCCGAAAAATCTTGACCCTCAACAAGAGTATGCGGAGAATATGGAATCTTTCCAAGAGTCTAAGAAAAATTCGGCTGACATAGTAGAAGAATATCGAAAAATGTTCGCCGACATACAAAAGACTCCAACATCAGATGAAAATATTCAGCATAGAATGGAAGACTGAAAGAAAATGTACGCAAATACAACAATCCTTTTTACTTACGACATATAACGTTCAATCTTTGGCTGAACTCGGTGAAAATAAAAGGTTAAATTTCAACAAAACATATAGAAATGAAACATTGTTTAAAGTTCATTCAGAACCTAACCAATATGGAAACAAACCTACTTTTGTTTCTGCAGACTATGGAACTACAATGAGATGGGGTCATAAAGCTAATCCGGATAGGTGGTTCATAAACTTACAACCACAATTCCAAGAAGTTGTAGACGCAATGGAAGTGAATGGTGAACCAGATATAGCTGGTATTTTCAGCGCGGCTTTAATGCCATTGAAAGATATGAAAGATGCAGATATTTTGGACCAGTATGAAATGAACATGGCTGATGGAAATATAACACCTGACGTTCTAGAACATTTATCTCAAAGAACTACACAGAACCATAGAGATGGTATATTTGGTGAAGAGTTTAGAAAGAGAGTTAGGGAGAGAGAAGGAAGAGAACCTATTGTACATGACCTTGCAAACGAAAGTTTGCAAAATGTCATAAAAACTTACTTTGCAGACAATGAACCGAGAAGGGATGAATATTTAAGAAAACTCAAATGGACAGTACCAAATGAAATGTTAGTATTGAAAAACATGTTCCTTGACAAAATAAAACCAACTACAGAAATAAATGACGCAAGACTGAAACATTGGGTAAAAGCTTTCCCATTCACAAAAGATATTATTGGTTACATGGAAAGAAAACCAGAATGGCTACAAAAACATATATTTGGAAACGAGCTTATTCCATATGGACAAGCTCTGTTTGAAGAGCTTGAACCGGAAACTCAGGAAAGAGTCATGCAAACAATAAGCGACGACTCAAATACAAACTATGACAAAATCTTTCTAGGATATAGGTTACCTGAGATGGACCAGAGCCCAAAGGCAAAAAGGACATGGGAAATTTACAACATACTAGGTGAACATGAGGCAAAGATGCAACAACTTGAAGCAGAGGGCAAGTTACCAAAAGCGACACCAAAGAAGAAGAGAAGAGTAGAACAAAGTGAAAGTAGTGAAGAAGTAACTTCATCTAGTGAAAGTAGTGGCAATGAAGGAAAAAGAAGAGTTAAAAACTCAGTCAGGAAGAAAGTAAAGCTTGGTCGAGTGGGTTCTATTATGACACATAAATCCAACTATTCTATATTTTTACCCATATGAAATGTACGCCGCTCAGAATATAACGCCAACAGTTTTGGATGCCATGAACGGAAATGTTTCCGAATGGTATAACGAATGCGACAATGCCATTAGAAGGTCAGAAATAGTTCCTGGAACTTACGAATATACAACTGCTGTTTCTTATGGAAACGTAGGTGAGTTTGGAGAAGGTTCTTCAACAACAGTAGATATTGCTTGCGACAGGTTTCATATTATTTCTATTGACAACTCATTCTTATACGTGGAACAAGACATTGAAATAAAACCTTCTGCCAAGTTGTCTGACAAGAAAGGTTGCAATGGAATTTTCTATGTCGGATACCAATATGCTCCAGAAGTTTTCATGGGATATAAGATATATTCTAACTCTGACTTAGTTCAAACAGTAACATGGGCAAACTATGAATGGTTCGCTTTGAGAAACTCAGTACAACCACAAGCTAGAGAACAAACAGACCAGTATGCAACTATTGAGAAAATAAGAAGACTTGACCCTAACGTTCCAGGAGTTTATGTTAACACTTTCTGGTTCAGATGGAACTGCTGCCACTAAAGTAAAACTGAAACTTAGAGTTCTTTGTCATCTTTCCTCATCTTCAGGTTTTTAAAGATACTTGCCAAACTGGGCAGGAAAAATTTCTATTGAACTTACTCCCAAGCAAAAATAACTTAGTCATTGCACCAACACAAGACCCATTCACTCTTACAGACGTAGTGGGAACAAATAAAACGTCATTCGCCGACTTTTGCAAAGACAAAGTTGACTTAGACTTTGGTTTCTCAAACCTCAACACTGAAGTAAACTATTAATTTCAATGCTGCTGGAACTGCTTGGGACCCAGTTAAGTTCACATGCGAAAAATTTGAATGCAAGAGAATAGAAAGCAGACTTGCAGTCTATATGTTGGACCCAGATATTTCAAATGCTTTAGCTGCCAAATATATTGCAGTTCCACTTATGTTCCCTATACACCAAATATCTGTCAAAGACTTTGCAGGTGAAGTTGGAAACCAAAGTGCTGACCCAGGTGCAAGAACAGATATTGCTTTAACAACTGCAATGAAACATGCAGATACTATGTTTGTACTGTTCAGACGAACTATAAATGACTATTCTTGTTTCTACAACCCTGGTAT